GCCCGGGCAACGGCCCGTTTGGCCTTTTTGGCTGACCTACCCCTCTGGAGAGAGCGCGAGTTTGTTTGTCTTTTTTCTGTTGTGGCCGAATCAACATGATAAGCCCACAATTAGTATTGTAGCGTCTCGCTGCGGGAAACACACCTTGTCAGCGCTATCATCTGCCCCCAGTCACGTGACTTTGTTTGCAATCTTAAAGGTCCCATGTCATGGCCATTTCCACTGATCATAATTCCATTGTTGAGGTCTACTGGAATAGATTTATATTGTTCAATTTTCCAAACTCACTTTGGTTTCTCATACAGCATCTCTGTATACTACGTGTATTCACTGAATTTCACTCTCTGCCTTTAACGGCTCGTTGTAGCTCCAATAGCTCCAGCCCCCACCCTCCCTGTGAGCACAGTGTGCTCTGATTGGTCGGGACGTTGTGAATCGCCCTGAGCTCCGTGGAGGTGTGGTTTCCTTGTTTAGCGATACACAGCGAAACACAGCCAAACTCACCCTGAGCACACACAAAGTCACAGCCGAAGTAAAAACAATAAGTGTGGCTTGATATTGAGTAAGAGAAAGGTTGATAAACGCTGTGAGAATGGGTCTGCAGAGAGAATTTCGCCGCGATCCCAACTGTCTGTTATCAGCCTGCTGCCTGGGAGGAGAGATCAGCAGAGCTGCCTGCACTGAGTGTGTGTGTGAGGAAGTCCGTGGATTGGTCAATTTGGACCAATCAGCGGGGGCTTAACGTAACGGCTCCACGGACGTAACGTAACGGCTCCACGGATTGGTCCATTTCGTTCCGGCTAACTCATGACATCATGAGTTACCCGGAAGAATCAATGGACATTCACGTATCTCCAACGAGGCGTTTTGGGGAGGTATTTTCTGTGTTAGAGTTTTACTCGCTACAGGGTGTACTTTGAGGGTTTGTGACTCTGCAGACCGTTTACATGCATAAAAAACTTCATAACACACAAGGGGACGGGTAATAACCGGAAAAGCATGACATGGGACCTTTAAGAGATAACTAAAGGCAGACAAGTTAAGAGCCAGACGCACCTTTCTCCCCCCTCTTCTTCTTGGTGCGGTCGATGTGGTCTTTGAGCTGGATGCGGACTTGCCTCTCGTTGGGCTGGTCTCGGATGAAGGGGTGCTTCAGCAGCTGCTCTGTGGGGGGCCGCTGCGTGTAGTTCTTCACCAGAGAGCCCTCGATGAAACTGATGAACTTTTTGGACCTGTAGTGAGCGGAGAAGAGTCAGCAGGGAGGAACGATGCAGGACCGAGAGGGTGACAGACACAAGGAGACAGCGGCTGCCAGACAGATGCTTCAGCCACGAAAGCATGGAGCACATCCAGGGATGCTAAGTAAAACGGACACTCCTGCAAACAAGCTTGAGATGACAGATTACCCATCAGCCCTAGCAACACATCTTCCCTCCATGTCTCGGAAACATTGAGGTTTATACATGTGGACGGGTAGCATCTGTCACAAAACACTGAAATATGGGGTGCACTGCAATTCAATTCTCATCACAATTGCACCTGCTGCTAAAGGGTTTTAATGAAACAATTTAAGAAATCAAATCATCTTAAAGCTAAATAAAGTATTTTTAATGCAACACAGGATTATGTTAATGTTAAAGCAAAGCCAGGCTACATTTTCTGTAAAAACAGGAAGTAGTTCATCTTAGATCTAGTGCTAGCTAAAGAGACCTTGTGTCTGCAGTGCGTGCCAGGAGAGGCTGAGCACAAGCTCCTGGTTCAAGCCTCTGAAGCTGCCTGGGCTGAGGTCAGAGATAAAATCTAAATGCACAAGAGTACAAATGGAGAGGCCAAGAAGGAAATCTATACATCCAATCTGATTCAAGCCTTGTGTGTGAGGATTTTATGGGTGCAATGAGGATTGGAAAGAATGTAAATGCATAACAAACCACATTTGGTGTTTACCTACCATTTTTTAGACTTGAGTCTGGGGGGAGGGTTTCTTGGAATGAGGAAGAGCGCACGCATTGGGTGCATGTCACAAAGTGCTGGAAGAAGACGAACAAATACAGAACATCAATAAAAAGTGTGATTGAACCGACGCAAAAATAAACTAATATCAGGAAATAACAGGTACTCACGTGGAGCTCCTTCAGCCATTTCAATAGCTGTGATACCAGTAGACCACAGATCACTCTGCGAGACAAGGAGGCGCAAATTAAGCAAAACTGCAGCAAGCACACAAATCAAGTGTTCAATGTCAAGTCAAGCTGCAAATCGTTTTCAATATACATTCAAATGCACATCATTTTTAAAGCTGATGTTTTTAAATGTCTGTTTCGTAAGTCCAAAACAGTATACCTAGTAAATAAAGCTTCATATGAAATAAGAAAAGCAGCACAAGTCCATATTTGGGAAGCTGGAAACAGCATTTCCTGCCGTGTTTGTATGAAACTGTACTCGTTGCAGCTCTTATGTCGAGTTTTGGGTGTTGAGGCTCTTACTCTGTAGTCGTATGTAGCGTCTGGGTTCTCGTCACAAGCGATGACCTCAGGGGCCATCCAGTAAGGCGTCCCGATGAAGGTGTTCCTCCTCCCCACGGTCCGATCCAGCTGAGCGCTGACACCAAAGTCCACTACAGGAAGACATGACAGTCAACAAGGTGCTGTGCACAGGTGAGAGGAAAGGTAAGGGAACATTTAGAGCCTGCCACTTACCCAGTTTCACTTCTGCATTCTCAGTCAACAGGACGTTTTGACCCTTGATGTCACGGTGGATGACGTGGTGGGCGTGAAGGTGGGCCAGACCCTGAGGTGGAGAAAGGGGAGGAAATGAGTGAGGAAGAGGAAAGAGGAGAGGAGAGGAGGAGAGGAGGATGCACTCACCCTAAGGATCTCTCTGGAGATGTATGCGATCCAGTCTTCCTTCAGCTGGTTCCCCTTCGTGTTCTTCACCAAGTCTGTGATGGAACCAGCGCCACAGAACTCCATCACCAACTACAAGAAAAAACAAGCATCAGAAGATACGTCTAGAAAATCCAAAAGAATAATGACTTGACCCTTGTGATAATATTTAAAGGAGACCACATTAGATAAGTTATGGATCATGGAGACTACTTAGGTTTGTAAAGGAAACGATCATGGCCGCTACATATTTCCCATACTGCGTCCTGAGCCTTAATATCTGGAGTGGATTTGAGGACTTACCCAGAGCTGGTCATCGTGTCCCGGGGGGCTCTTCTTAATGAAAGCACCGTAGTAGGTGGCTATGTTTCGGTGGTGGGAATACTTCTTCAGCATATTGATCTCCAGTTTAATTTCCTCCTCTTCATCCTAGACACACAACGACACGTTACAGAGGGGGGGAACAGACAAGAGGGGGTTTGTCCTTCCACTGGAAAATCTGCATTTATAAATAATCACTGTGCGGTAAGGCTGAACGATTAATCGATTTTAAATCAGAATTGCGATTTGAAATTTAAAAAAAAGTCCACTACAGAAAGACATGACAGTCAACAAGGTGCTGTGCACAGATGTGAGGAAAGGTAGGGAAACATTTAAGGTAACGTAACAATTTTTTTTTCTTCTTGTGTGTCAGTCATCCACACCAATCAGAAGTGCTGTGCTCCACATGTACCAGCCATTGTTAACCAATCAGAAGTGGCCCATGATAGAAGGTGATAGACAGATTGATCCAATCACCTGCCAAGTGCTTTTTGAAAGTGCGTGCCCTTTTCCAAATGGCTTCCAATGGAGCTCTCCTAGATGGTTTGGTGAAACAAACCGTCTGAGTCAGGTTAGTAATGCTCCATCACATGTTTCTATTACAGGGTGAATCTTAAACTGAAGCTTGACTTTAAAGCAACCCAACGGAAGTTTCATGTAAGTTTAGTTCTTTCATTCGTAGCTCGGGTGCTAGACACGGGAGCATGTTGATGCGACCTTCCTAGCCGGAGATATGGCCTCATTTTACAATAAACTTCCGTTGGGTCGCTTAAAAAAAAAGAAAAGAAAAAAAAATCGGAAATCGGATCGCAATATCTGTCAGAAAAATCGCAATTACATTTTTTCCCCAAATCGTGCAGTCCTACTGTGCGGGACTTTAAATCATCATTTGGACATTTAATTTCAGATCCAAATCAATTCACTTTTATACTGAGGGTCGTAGCACGGTGTCAAGATATGTGACAACGCCCCGGTGGTTTCACTTCAGCCAGGCCTCGTCCATCTAATATCTGAGACTCTGCTTTATAGCAATGCAGCACGAGTCGTCCGTCTACTGGCAAATTATTCCTTTGTTTAGGGATTAATGATGCATGAGTGCGTACAATAGCCATTATCAGTAATCCCTTGTTAAGAGAGCTACTAAATATACATTAGATCGATGGCAGTCCATTAGCATCAGGCACGCATCCTGAGTACACTTGCTTATAGCTGGGTAGAGAGCTAGGAATCCTGCCTCCTATTCATCTGCACACAAATAAATAATAACAAATATAAATATTCATTAATTAATTTAATTAAAAACGTAAAAAATAGTTGCAAAAAAAAGGGTTTGATCACAATACACTAAAGCATTATCAATGAAACTTGAATAAGCCAAAAATAAAAGCCAAAAACACAATAAATATTATGCAAAGTGGTTTTAGGATCGCTGAATAAATTATTTTTAATTAACCAAACATGCCTTTTAAAATTCAAACACATCCTTTAAAAGCTGTAGACACCATAGGGACATCTATATGTTTAAGAAAAGCTATATATATATCCCAGATGTTGCTTTAATTCTGCTGTCAAGTGATTTTGAATATTATTAGCGAACCTGCTCTTGAATAAAAGGTCAGAGCTAGCTGCAGTGTGAACTCTCCCTGCTCGCACCCAATAGCAACGTGTCAATGATTAACAGTGACGCACTAATTGGACACACGCAGGGGGGGGGGCATTGGACAGCATCATCCCTGCAGACAAGGTGTGCCTCTTTATATTAGCAGTGATTTTATAGAACAGAAAGGAAGGTGATGCTAAGTGTGTTATTGCTAAACTGTGTGCTGTGCATCACCTATAGCAAAATGGCAGTTGGCTGTCTGTGCAGGCGGCCATGCTGCTGCTGCATGACTCGTTTGAGTTGACGTAAGCCTTTCTGTTGTGCGCACCCCCTTCCTCCCTCCCTCCTCTCCCATCTACCCCCTCTCTGCCGTGCAGCTGTTGGATTATCACACTGCCGACTGTGAAAGCTTCGCTCCCACAAGTCACACGGTGAGGCAGAGACTGACTCAATCATATGGGGATGTGAGAGAGATAGAGGAGTGGAGGATATGACGGTTAACTATATCTGAATATACATTACACACACAAAAGGAATTATTCATCTGTAGCACTAGGTCACACTAATATGCATACATTAGCATATGCCTGAAGGGGATATAATAAAAAGGTTGAAATACTAAGTGTAGTCCAGATAAGTAGCCATGTTCTTAATACATTCTGAGATATGAGAAAAGCTGAATATACAAAACAAATATAGGATGTTTAAGATGTGTTTAAAAAAGGCAGGGTCCCAATCTGTCAACTTTCTACCAGAAGATTTGAAATGTTATTAGTATTAAATAAGACAAATCTAAAGTAGAAAGAAATTGGTTTTGAGCTGTGAGGGTATTTGGCAGCTCAGAAGAGGAGTGTTTGGGATTTGATAATGTGGGTCAGAGTGACTCGGGATGAGCTCTACAGCCAGGAAAGAAGACTAACACACACTGCGCCAATCAGGTAATGAAGAAATATTTCACTTTCTTGTGAAAGAGCGTGATTAAAATAAAGATAAGTCCAAAACTGAATGTGGTTTGGATATCACTTACTGCATTATCTGTAAGAATATATTCAACCCAGCCACTTGCTTTTATTTAGTGACCATGGATGTAGGGCTAAAATAATATTTTCATTATAGGAGAAATTTATATATTTTCAATTTATTCATAGCTAAAATTGTCTAAAACTACATTTTCGCAATGAATTATTGGGCAACAAAAGTGTCAGGTAGGTGAAGTCACGCTGGCCTAAAAATAGGTCCATCTGCTTTATCAGTTTAATGATGCAGACAAAATGTACGGCACAAGCAAGTGTTAAAGCCACACGCCCAATATCATGCACAACGTTCATTATCTCAACATATAGTGAAACAGGTTCAGCCTCAGTGGGCTTTACGAGTAAAAGCATTCCCGTGCAATAGAAAATGATTCATAAGATATTACATGTCTAGAAGACACACCTGGGCAGTGTCAGGGCAACATACCAGGAACACATGATAACAAATCAGTGCGTCACTCATGACTCAGCGTGACGGCGGCTCAGGTGAGGAGTGGCCGCCGGTGAGTCGGGGCACAGCTTCCACCTGTGGCTCTGAATATCAGTTCATTCTCCTTTGATTGGTTGTTTACTGTCAACATCTGTATATGTATTCATTTTGAGATAGTAACTTTGTTGAATGTATTTAATATGTGCCCTTCGGAGGGTTATATTTTTGTGTAATGTCTTTTGCTAAAATATGGCAATAATATGTGTCAAGAAAAAAAGTTTCTTTCTAAAGGAAGTGATGCATGAGGGCGATTAAGATGATGACCCCAGGGAGGATGATGAACAACTCATTCACCACAACAGCTTGTTATTTGTGTGTATATGATTACAAATCAGTATTATGTACGTGTGTGTGTGTGTGTGTGTGTGTGTGTGTGTGTGTGTGTGTGTGTGTGTGTGTGTGTGTGGTTGGCCTTCGCTGCGACTCTGAAACCTCC